ACTAGCCGCTACGTATCGTGCGACTAGGTCTATTGTTTATAAATTATAATCCACGACTGACAGGATGCGTGTCGGTCGGTACTTAATTATACTAACAATCAGACAATAGTCCTTGTCGGAAGCATTTCCGTGGTGGTCACTAATTTTGAGTGACGGTCGGGGCCGACCGACGTGGCGAACAAAGATTTTTCACATCTGATATTGGCTATTGGCATGTCAAATATGAAATCAAGCGCCGAGGTGGGAACACATAGCGCCGAGGTCCCAAGTGAAGCGCCGAGATTCACAGGTATAGCGCCGCGGACCTCGGCGCTAAAAAGCCCTGGGGAGAACCCTGCAGTAAATGAAAATTACCACCTTATTTGAGTTTGTGATTCAACATTTCCTACTTTCTACTAGTCTGCCTCTAGAGGGCGCTCTAGATTGCTATGCCTCATTTGGAAGACAAATCATTATAGGCTTTTTGATTGTTTGCATTCAGTTATGGAATTACTTTGCTGCTTTTAAACATGAAATTGAAAATAAAGTATTTCATTTCTCAAATACTTTGAATTATGATGAAAGTGATGTAATTAAGAAAGTACTTATTCAGCAATTGTTATTCTACAATTGTTATCAACCCTTATCTTTTAATTATACAATGTGAATACTAGTACATGTACTGCTATTCCCATCTTTTCCGAAATTATAGTAACTGCAGAATTGTGTTTCGCTTTGTGATTGCCATGGCAAGTAGATATTTTACCAACACTTATAAAGCATATACATTGTACATTATTTGAACTTTGTTATATTACAGAGATTCCACTACCAAATGAACAAGCTAGAATGGATATTTTAAAGATTCATGCTGGACCTATAACAAAACATGGTGATATAGGTTAGTATTGCATGTCAGTTGTTTGTCTTCAATATCTGGTTAAAATGTCTTTTTGGTCAAACTGTTAATTAATAAATGTTATAATAATACTCAACAATCCACAATGTCTAATTAGATGCAAAGAGTTGATTTATGTGGGCAGCTCAAACACTGTCAATTGTAGAAACAACTCTGCCGCCAATACGGCCCTGCGAAGTATTAGATTTTGTTATTAATATGATTAACCCACTGTATGTGTTGAAATCGGGATGATACCAACTATTATGGCTTGATTTCATCTAAGTCCCCATTAGTGTGAAGTATTATAGCAGTAAGATGCAGACGACAATTCATTAAAGAAATGTTTAAAGTTGATACGTTCTTCATGTGTAACATATGCATGGTTTTTCATCACCAAATTTAATGTCTATATGTGATCCAAGTTCAGGGCCAATACAATGCAATTGGGTAATACTTTGATGGCATGTAATCACATAGAACACAAGTCTATGTATTATAATATATACCTTAGTGTAATGTATATAATGATGGAATTTTTTGGAAACCATTTGACGTGTTAACTCTTTATGTTATTGTAAGAAAATTAAGTAAAACAAATAAATCCTAGTTTTTCATCAAGATTTACCTTTAAAGAAACAAAATTTTTTCATAGATTTTGAAGCAGTTGTTAAATTATCAGATGGTTTCAATGGTGCTGATCTCAGGAATGTCTGTACAGAAGCCGGTACGTACTAAATTGTCACCTTTGTGGAAGGATTATTGATTTCTTAATAATATTGTATCCTACTATTGTACTTTTCGCTGAAAAATTCCTAAATCTCACCAAGACTGTAAAACTTGCCATGATTGATCACTGACCTGTCAGATAAACATATCTCATTGATAAGATAGGCATACCGGTAGTTTGTGTGAGGCCAGTTGTACGGCAAAGTTGTTTACTTACACTAAAACTTGTTCTTTACAGGTATGCATGCAATACGTGCAGAGAGGGAGTATGTCATCGAGGAAGACTTCATGAAAGCTGTGCGTAAAGTCTCTGACAACAAAAAACTGGAATCTAAATTGGACTATAAGCCTGTGTAACCAAACATGTGTCACTACCCTGTCCTAAACACCTGTGTATCAAAATGTATGTCATTAGTTAAATATTAACTAGAGCAACACCTTTTATTTTGATTAATACTGACATCCCAAGGGCATCAACATTCCTTGTAGCCGAGGAACGGTAATCCTAACTCCTAACTGCCGCTTTAGTGAAGAACGTATCTAAGCTTTTTTCTATAATACTCAAGTCAATTTAATGCTGGTATGCTTAGATTCTGATCAGCTTTCATTTGGTTTACCTGTTCCCCTTACACTTCGTCATAAAATAAATCTTGTTATTTATCTTTTTGTCTACTGTATACCTTGTCTGTGGTTTCCATGTCAGTGGTTGGCAAGTGCTACCGGTACAGTACCTCTTCACATGTGTAGCAAGTCATTTTGAATCAATAAATTTGTTCGTACACAGATCTGCGTATTTTATTGTTTGTTTAAAGTTTGTATGCAGGGTGTGTTCGCTCGTTAACTGATCTCATCCTTTAGTAGTTCAACGGCGGTACACCTCGATCCTCTGTGGAATGGTTTAGATTACTAGCAGTGTTATTAACTCCACAAAATATATAAGTAACTACCGTGATTGCCTGTGTAGGTAAGATTGTCACCCCTTAATCTATTCACCACCAGACTCTCGCCCAAATTTTTCTGGAATTTTTCTTGTATATTCTTCATTATTTCAGAAAATGAACCCTAACTTTGGAGTAAACGGACAAAATTTGAGTCAATTCTCAGTTTTTACTTCAAAAGATTTGGCTGTTTTTGTCCCAATCTTCTAAAGTATACTTGAGACTATAAACAGTATTATTTTGTGAATTTGTGATGAAAAGAGGGAACTGGTGGTGAAAAGATTAATATAAAGCACTGATTTATGACTGTTTGTAATCAAGAACAGGAAGTAACACTCTGATTCTTCCAAATTGCTTTAGTTTTATTGAGAAATACTACAGTGATGAATTCAATATTCTGACCCTAGAACTGCATTGACCTTGATCAACTACACACTTGATAGTTCCATGGTCACTGGAATTAACTGTGTTCCGTGATTTAACTAAACGATAGATGGATATCAGAAATTGAATTGTGATGATCACAAGATCATGTGATGTAACACAAGAGCTTAATTGCGATTTCATTTTCAACATTGCTTATGACATGATTGTTGATTTTAACTTGAAGTTTGAATACAATGGTGAGTATCTGTATTATTTTGTTTTCTCCCTGAACCGACCTGCTTCATGGTAAGCGTAGTTGAGCTAACATTGTTTTTTTTTAAATCTGAAAGTAGTTTCCCTGGTCGGCCTGAAAATGGCCACAGTCAGCTGGCGTACAAGTGATAATATGATAAATGCGATTAATCCACCGATATTTACTAAATGGGGTAGCCATCCTGAACACTGATTGAAAGTAAATATAGAGTCAAATTGAGAAACAGTTTCCTATAAATCAAGGAGAAAATAAATTTTCACATCCAAACGATTTATTGGGTTAACATTAAACCAGTCGCTAATAAAATTTGACTTCATTCATGCGCTTTTGCATGGAAAATCCCTTGTATACGAACACCTCATTACACGAAGAAAATAGAACACTTTCCCTTATATATTTGAAGGCGAAATCGCCATCCATCTAAAGTATGATGACCGTCCCTACTGTTATATAGATGCGCCCAGAGTGGGCGTGACCACAGGACTGCGCAAGTGAGATTTGAAAGCCAACGATTCAGTCAAAACCAAAGCAGTTAGCCAATTCGCTAGCGAGTTTGCAAATTTGCTGCCCCAATACTTCTTAGACTTGCTGTAATATCCTCATCATGCACATGTTTTGAATAGCCTTCAGATCTTGTGTTTTGCAACAATTTTCTGAATGCATGACAACATACAATGAATTTGGACATTTTATCGAAATTAACGTAACAAGGCTAGCTAACATCGGCCAGTACTCGTGCTGGAACTTGTCTAATTGTTGCGATGGATTCATTGCACCCACTAGCCCAACTTCCTTGGCGATTGCCCGCAAACTGTTTCCACCCAAGTTTGATAATCTCCTTCCGAGTGTCCTAATCTACAAGCTTCAGTATAATAGCAATAAATGTATAGATTTAGTCAACGAGTTCAAAATCAAAAACTGCATTCAAATCTAATCTGTTCTCACAAGGATAATTTAGCTAATTCTGTTGGGAGTGTTCCTTAAAAATAATTGTATCAAAGTTTATTATTTTCGTGAAACGTTCAAAATAGAATTAATTTATTATATTATATTATCAAGTATATATGTACATAAAATAATAGTGTCCTATAACAATAAATAATACATTGAACCTATCTGAAAGCAGAGTGTTTTGATGAACTGCAGGTGGGTATATAACAATATTGTGTCTACAACCGTCACTGAAGTGTTTAGAAATGCTGCACAGTCAATCAGTAATTGTCTGATGTATGAGAGTCAGGTGTATGTAAACATTTTGCCTCCACTGTAATGTTATCCATATATGTGCATGGGTCTTGTGACCAGATTTGTGATGCAGGGAAAGATGCTTACATTTCACCTTGGACGATGGATAGTTGCTGCCCTCTACAGGTGAATATGATCTTCATGATAGTATTTCACCTTCCGTAATTGGAGAAACTAGACTAGCTTTTGAACAATTAATTTTAGTATTTCAGGCTTCTGTCACTAGTGTATTCTGGCCCATTAGCTTTAGTGTAAATACTAGTACAACATTTTACCATCAGTTTTCCACGTTCTGGAAGCCGAGTGTTATCATAGACCATAGGGTCTTTGATGTTATTAAAAAGCAGCTGGTGGATCTGTCTGCCTGGGTCCACAGCTGCTGCAATTTACATGGAAATTAAAATTGGCACCCTGATATTTTGAGCAGTCTGCAGAGCTGAATAATCAAATGTGTGCTTTTCTGATTTGTTTAAATTTTTCATATATTCATAAGTAGCAAATTTTAACATAATTGCCAATCTTGCTGCCCTGATATCACTTTATGGTCAATCTAAGGGGTTTGCCAATCTTGCTGCCCTGATATCACTTTATGGTCAATCTAGGGGGTTTGCCATTCTAGCTGCCCTGATATCACTTTATGGTCATTCTCGGGGGTTTGCTATTCTTGCTGCCCTGATATCACTTTGTGATCATTCTAGGGGGTTTTCCAATCTTGCTGCCCTGATATCACTTCATGGTCATTCTAAGGGGTTTGTCAATCTTGCTGCCCTGATATCACTTTAAGGTCAATCTAGGGGGTTTTCCAATCTTGCTGCCCTGATATCACTTCATGGTCATTCTAGGGGGTTTGCCAATCTTGCTGCCCTGATATCACTTTATGGTCAATCTAGGGGGTTTGCCAATCTTGCTGCCCTAATATCACTTTATGGTCAATCTAAGAGGTTTGCCAATCTTGCTGCCCTGATATCACTTTGTGGTCAATCTAGGGGGTTTGCCAATCTTGCTGCCCTGATATCACTTTATGGTCAATCTAGGGGGTTTGCCAATCTTGCTGCCCTAATATCACTTTATGGTCAATCTAAGAGGTTTGCCAATCTTGCTGCCCTGATATCACTTTGTGGTCATTCTAGGGGGGTTTGTCAATCTTGATTCCCTGATATCACTTTAAGGTCAATCTAGGGGGTTTGCCAATCTTGCTGCCCTAATATCACTTTATGGTCAATCTAGGGGGTTTGCCAATATTGCTGCCCTGATATCACTTTATGGTCATTCTAGAGGGTTTGTCAATCTTGCTGCCCTGATATCACTTTATGGTCATTCTAGGTGGTTTGCCAATCTTGCTGCCCTGATATCACTTTAA